TTATCCAATCAATTAATGTATTAACACTTAATAATGAGTCAAGAAAATCTCAACTTGTCTTTTAAGATTCAAAAATTCAAATTACAGATTTATCCTTCCTTAAAGCTGATTCCAATTTGATAAAATATGTAATCTAGATAAATATACAGATTCATAAACAATCATGTTGTCATGATAAAATTCATCTCCAATAGTGTTCAAAAAAGCAAGCCTGAGCCTGGTGTTGAATATTACATATTCTTTCAAAATTAGTTTATCCATAAAATCAGCTAAAATAGACCGTTAATCTTCAAATTAAAAAAAAATACAAAACTCTTACTTTGAGTCAAAACTCTCGAGTTCCCCATTTCAAAACATTAATTAAATCACTAACTAATGTGATGATAGATTAGTGCGGAATACATAATTAGTAGGTTAGAATCATACCTTAGGAAGAACTTTAGCAAAACTCCATTGAAATCATTTCAAACTGTAATCCCACACTTCCAAAATCGAGTTATGAAGTCCAAGATCAAAAAATAAAATTTAAATCTGCCCATGTATCATTTGATCTTAGCGAATGCGAGGAAGCTCCACAAACGTGAGGCTGACCTGACCTATACCTCGGTGAATGTGAGACTTTAGTTATGATTGTGAAGCATGACTCCTACCCGAATCCGAACTTGAACTTTCATGAATGAGACCCCTCCAATGAAAATGCGAAGCCAGCCCACTTCCTTACTTCATAAATGCAACGCAAGTCTTGCCAACGCGAAGAAGGCACCATAAAACAAGAACTCAGTTGTGAATTTCTACAAGCAAAAATTTCTAAATGGACCCTACAAATTCGTTCGGAACTCCCACAATAACAAACTAAGTATGGAGATTAACTAAAAACTATATTTTCAACTTGTTAGAATCATCAGATCAGCGATATGGGGTCTTATTGACCGCAAATTGATTGTGGTCAAACATAACTTTCTTATAAGTTAAAATTTCAATCAAAGATCCAAACACTCCTGAAGAACCTCGGTATTTGTACCAACTATCCAACCAAGTCAAAAATCACCTCACATACCTAACAAAACTATTTGAATTTGATTTGAGGTATGTTCACCTAGAATGTTTACTTTGGCTAAACTTTCCAACTTTCAAAATAAAAAAAACTCACCCAATACCCATTCGATCACCTCTAGGATTATGTCACTCATTTCCATAGGTAAAAAATAATATACAAAAGCTGGTGTATGAAATACAAAGAAATATGCATATAAATCAAAACGACCATGAGGACCGTTACAATTGTCTATGCATGTCAACACCTGAAACTCCAAAATTTTCAACTTTTTGTACTTCAATATGTGTTTAACGTACGATTTGTATGTATAATTAAATCTAGCTTGTATGCCGCTTTCATATGTTAATAGCTTAAGCTTGAATTTTCCAATATTTTTTGTTCCAACATGTTTATATGTTTGTTTCGTGTATATATATACTAGAGGGGCATAGCCCGTGCTTAGCACGGGACCAACATTCTATATTTTTTAAGTGGTAAGTTCTTGAAAATATACAACTACAAAGATCATTAGCTATATTTATACAAAAGTATGTTGAATGCCTTCACATGTAATATAAACATTTTTACATTAGCCAAAACAAAATAACATCAATGCGTAAAAATGACTAATCTAATTGTCAGATCTTAAGCCTAAGAGAATTGAACTACTTTTAGTAGAACTGCATGAAACAACTATTCAACACATGTGTCAGGGTGATGATAAAGTATGGCACAACAAATAAGTTCAAAATGTTGGACAAAACCAGTTGTTCCGGCCTCTGAGTACATTGTCCTAAGGAACATCATCACTTGCACAACGGTTGTTCATAAGGTCGTGCATCGGACACATGTTCAGCTTTCAAAGGCCTCATATATGAATCTGTTCCAAGATTTGAATTCACAGTACAATACTACTAAAAGTCATGTTAATCAGAGTCATTAGCTGGTCATATTGATCACAATATAGTGGATTGTTTTAATACTATTTTGACAAAAATAAAAAATTATCATTCTCATCAAGGAGACAGCAATTCAAGAGTCGATGTGCTTCATAGCAAAACAACGTTAAAAAGGCTGACACTAATAAAAAAATTAATTACTACTTTCTTCCAAATTTTTGGAAATGATTTGTTTTTATGCAACACATAGCTATAATTTTAATTACTACTTTCTTCCAAAATGCACTGAGTATGGTTTAAACCTCATTTTCTTAGTTCCTTTAAGGACCAGTTTAGCAACTATATGCAATTATTTACCAAGTAACTGTATATAAGCTAAAACTTAGAAGCCTAAATGGTTTACTTTATTTGAGTGATCTTTAAATGGTGCATACATCTCAATACATAGCTCATAAAAGACTTTGGAAATGGATGAGGACTAATACAGTGAAAACTTAAAGCCCTCACTATCTACTTTTTTTTCACCTTCCATTTTGGTTCAGGACACAACAACTTGCAAGCTAGTTAATGTTAGAATTTATATTTTCAGCTGAGTTAAGAGATAAAATACATGCAATTTCTTGGACATCTAGACATCTCAGGAGAAACCATACTATTTTATTTTACATTACCCGATTTCGTTTGTTCCAGACTATGCATTGATAACCCTTCATCTTGAAATTGTCCTTTTCAAGGAAGATATTAATATTTGAAACAAACTAAATCGAAAAGCAGGCAAATCACAAATCTATTAGGCACAAACTGTAGAGCCAGAAGAACAGCCATCATCTACAGTAGCCCACTGAGGCAATCATAAGCTTAGTTGCGCGGACTCTTCACTTTTTCAATGCCGCATCTGTATCGAATTCTCCAAAAGTACACTACTTTGGCGAATCCGATACGCACCCGTTGACATTTTTGAAGAGTCATAGCAATATAGATCATAAGTACCTTTATATCTTCTGCAACAATTTCTCTGTAATACTAAAATAATTTTTTCAAAGATTTAAGTTCTATGCGGATAAAAAAAATTTATATTATATTTCTATCAAAATAATCATCTCACTGGTGTCTTTCTGACAAACATTTCAAACAACTTTCTTAAGTAGTCGGGGCCAACTTAGCAATATAAGAAATGAATAAAAGAGGAGAGGAATAATAATGTCATTGGACCATTCTGTATGAAACAATTCAAAACATGATTAAACTTATTTTATTTTCTTCAATGTCATGCTTAATTGAAGTCATATCACACAACTACCATTTTGATTTCAATCTTAATATTATGTCACTCTCCGTTACTTGGAAAAGTCGGCCCATTTGCCTTCTTATCTACATCTAGAAGCCTGAACTCTAACCCATCACTTTACTCTCTCTCTTCTATTCGAAATAACCTCTTATTGCTGGAATATTCCTGGGGCAAAAACGTTTTGAATTGTGCCATTTAGCAGCACGTGTGTTCATAGTTTAATTTCCTCATTTTGGTGTTTATTAACTAACAGGATGCGATTTCAGAACCATTTGTGCCTCTAACTTAAGAGAAACATGATGAGGTTTCTTGTGCTTTATCTAAATCCAATCGGTATGATTTGTACACTTTTTTATACTAGGTTCAGTTTGCAATCTCTTTATATGTTGTATCTGTCTAATTTTGTGCAGAACAAAGGTTTTGGTAACCCAAAAGGTCCAATATTGATATTACTGGAGAAATATTGCAATATTTGACACCTGGGGCATGGTTAAACTATGAGCTGATACTTTATGTTCAGTTCCCTATCCAGGAGTAAGAGAGTTTAAGATTTAGTGAAGCTGAATATGGAAAAGAAGAAAGAATAAAACGAATTTTTTTTTGTAGATTATGAATGTGTATCTTGAACGGCTAAAAGAGAGAGAGAGAGAGAAGGGAACCCCGGAGGTTCTTCAAATGTCATTTCTTTAACACATTCTTTTACAAGAAGGTCAGTTCGTTGACCTCCAGCTCAAAATTTAAGTTCTACAACTATTGTCAGCTGATATGGAGGCTTGGTCTATAATAGTTATCTGAAAGTGAAAGTGTGGCCTATTGATTTATGTCTGTTGTTAATGTAATTCATCAATAACAATAGCCAGTATAATCATTTACCTGATACAACACCACACACAAGGAGGCAGAAGAGTTATAATTTAGAGCTAAATAGAGAAGAAGAGATATGAGTGTCTCTTCTGTTGATGAAAGAGCAAGATGCTAAAATAGAGAGAAAGAATTTTCTTTCTTTATAACACACAGTACACTGACTCATCTACCACTCTTCAAGTGCCTATGGTTGGATGCCACAAAATAGGGGAAATACACACATGCCCATACGGATTTGTTCAATGATATTGAATGAGTGGAATGAGGGAAAGCGACTCGATTGACAAAAAAGAAGAGTAGCCTTCCTACAACCTTGATTAATTAGATACTTTTATTGGAAATACAATAGCTCCAACAACAGAGAACAAGTTAACAGAAAGTGAATATGTAACTCTTGATTGTAGTTAATTCTTGCGTCCACTTAATTTCTTAGTTAAGAGTAGGTATGTGGATAAAGGATTCAAAATTTGAAGTTTATAAATGGTTGTACCAATCTCAACTTAAGTTGAAAGTATTTTAAGCTTTGAGTGATCCTTAAAATATCATACAACAAGAATCATTTTTCTGCTGAACAACTGAATGAAAGTCTCTTCACCAGAAAAGTAATTTGTTGATCGACTACTCCTCATGTTTATAGGACAACCGAAGCTGATAGGCTCCTAATATTTTACCACTCCACGTTAACAATGTGGATTAAGATGTGTTCTTACTTCTTCATCAATGACCTTGAAAATCATGGGCATTTATTTCAGGACAAACGTCTCTGTAAGCTATTCAAGTTAGGAAGTATCTTCAATTTTTTTCCAGAAAACATGTTTCAGCTGCGTCAAAAACATCCATTCTCAAATTTGCAACAACAATTTCTTCTCTTCGACTCGACGCGTTAGTGATGTACTTTTATAAATGCATATGGACTGATACTAAAGTTTCTTTTCCCAATTCTTTACTTGCAAAGGTTATGTTAGAATTTCTTGGATGTATTGGTTTAAAAAGATTTTCTATCACCAAGCTGCTCTTGTTTATGTGCTTACCTGACTTCTTTTGAATGTAACTCTTTTCAAATTTAAAATATATTCTTATGTAGAATTAGGCTGCTTATCGAACGGATAATTTCACTTAATAGTTTGGCCTATCGGATATCGGTTTTCAAATTTACCTACCCATTAGCCATCTTCAAAAGCCTTGGTATCTTTCTAAGCATTGTTTCCATTTAAAATAAAGACCTTCTACTTGAAGAGAAGGACAATGTAAGAAATATAATGCTAACAAGTCATCTAATAGTTGTATTATATGCAGGAGCGATTGAAGAGCTTACACAATATATTGTTGATATTCTGTATTCATTGGCATAGCAAATGCCCTGATAATGGTAACCTTAATGTTTTATGAGCTTAGTTTAATATCAAGTCTTGAAATTTTATCTTAGCAATTTGTCCTGTTACAGCTTTCCATTAAACTTGTAAAGAACACAGATGAAAAGTTTAAGCTTTAGTTGTTATTTCTGCTGCCATGCAATTTATATGTCGATAGAATTATCTCCTTATACTTACTTTCACTTTAAAACATGCATTGTGATCATAAATTCTACAATTACAATTTTCATGTGCGCCTCTTTCCGATGTGATTTAACAGGCTGCGCTTGTGTGTACAGATCATTGAGCTTTATGGATGCAGTTCGTACAAATGGATCTGCCAAGCATACCCTTTTACATGCTGAGTTACCCTGTTTGAAGATACTCAATGTCGAGGTTCTTAAATAAATAACTTGCCAGCTTCCACACTTTTTTAATCTCATCCGACTGCCTGATGTAAGATACACATACACCCCTATCCTTCTCGCTCACTGCCTCACTCCATTAATATCTTAACCGAACAATCTAACGTTAACCCAATGACGCACATGTGTTTAATTTTTGCAGAAAGCAAAAACAGAGCAATATAACCTCCATACATTCAACAGAAGTATCAGCATCAACTTTACATTTCTTGTTGTATTGGAAGAAACATCGCTATTCCTTAAATTATAATCTTCATCATATTGGGCCCGGCTTTCCCCCATCTAGTATACATAAATATATAGCTTAAAATTTTAAATTTATTGGACCTTATATATGGTTCAATATCGGTCCATATGTCTAATATTCGGACCTTTTGTCGACTGCAACTCAACTCGGCTTTTCTGACTTTGTTTTTTCAATTCTTCTCAACTCCAATTGTTTATACATTTAGATATTGACTCACATGTGCATGCACAATATCTATCATGGTTCGAGTCTAACCACAAGTATTTAATGAGTTCAAACCTACTCTAAATGTATGAGGTGTTACAATAATTGTGGTTGATATGATGATTGTCAGTGGTGATTGGTGGTTGTTGTAGTAATAGTGGTGGTGGTGTGATAATTGTAAATAGTCACAAGTGATTGTGATTATTGATTGTGTGATCGATAGTTGTAGTTGCGATTGAGGATGGCGGTTGTGGGTGATGACAATTAACAATGGTGAATGATAACACTTGGCATTGAAATTTCACTTTTACAGAAATTCTTGAATGGACAACATTTTAATGATATTAAGACTTTGTTATAAATTATAACAATTAGAATCCATTTAAATGGTTATAAGAAAGAAAAAAAAGGTACTTTATAACTAAGATATGAATAATTTAGTTTGAGGCCTAACAATATAAATACACTTAGGGATCGTTGGGTAGAGTGTATTAGAAAAAACAATGCATGTATTAGCCTTGTGTATTATTAATATCTTGTTTGGTACTCTTTTCCAACGTAACATATGTATAACTAATGTTTGCATTAGTTATATATGACTTTATTGTGTATTAAGGTGTGCATTGCTAATTCCATGAATTTCTAGGTATTAGCAATGCAATGGTTTTAATGCATGCATTAACTTGATAAAAGACGTAATTGCCTCTCAAATCATTTTACATCTTTTCCACCATAATAGTGTGGAGCGTATCTTTGTAAATAATTTATTTTATGCAATGCATGCTATTTTTAATGCGTCAAACCAAACAATGCATTAAAATAATCTATGTATAATTAATGCAAACATTGCTAATAGAAGCATTACTAATACAGTCTATTTAGTATTATTCTTATACAGTCTACCAAACGATCCCTAATATTTTTTATTTTTCAAATTTGGGTGTAAAGAAAGGAAAAATAGAGAATGGAATATAAGATTGAGATATAAATAAGTGGAAATAAATGAGGCATTAATTATGGTTAAATAAGCTATGTTTTGACTTGTTATACGCGATTTTTAGTAGTGCTTGTTACCATAGCAAAATTCGCATCTTAGATTTCAACTTATTCCCCCCGCATGCAATGTGGTAACTCTGATCTCATCTGCAAAATTTTAATTTTGATTCAACTTGTTACCCCAAAAGCCAAAATCATATAATTGATTGATCAAATTTGAGATGCACGGGCACGCACGGTCAGGGTCAAATGCGGGACGTCGTCCGCAAAATGCAAAGGCAGCGGCACAGAGGCTGGCACAGGTAATGGCGTGTCAACAAGCGGATGATGATGATGAGGAAGATGAGCTGTATGAGTATAACCCTGTGGCTCCTTCAACTGCTATTGGGCTTGCTGGTGGAAGGCCCAATAGAAGAAGTACTCCGCTGGTAACAATCTTGTACATGCTTTATTTCTTTGACAAATTAAAGCAGCATCAGTTTTTGTTTGTTTGGTTTGTATTAGGCAGTTCGTACATCCATAGAACCACCACAGGCATCGACTACACGTCCAGCAATCCGACCGTCTACATCAACTGAGTCTTTGGATCAGCAGCCCTTGCAAAAGGTGAGTATTGTTATCTCATGTATTCAGGTTAGTAAAAACAGAAACAAAAAATATGGTTTACTTGTTCTCTTTCAGACAGTTCGTACATCATTAGAGGCAAATGCATCAATTACACGTCCATCATCAATTCGGACAACGGTAGAACCAGCTACACGTCCAGTAGGAATCCGTCCATCTTCATCTTCAGAGTCATTGGACCAGCAGCCTTTGTCAGCTCACTCAACCACGCCTATTAGAACTTCTCAGCAACAACATTATTCTTATTCTGGAAGTAAGCTGACATTTCAATCTAAAAACACTTTGGAACAACCACCATCTGCTCGCGCACCTACTACACCTTTGGCTGGCAATCAAGTTTTGTCCTCTCAATCAAGTTATGTCCCGGAACAGCCTCTATCTGCTCGTTCTCTTGCAGCTAATCGCTCCGGTCAATTTGGAGGAAAGCCAATTCCTTCTAGTGTGCCTCTATCACTCAGGCCAGTTGCAACTGAGGCTCAACCTGAAGCTCGTAAAGATAAAAGGTAATCTTAATTAATTATATTCTGAATTTGTCATTTCTTTTATTTATTGGGTGATTGAGCAGGTTATCAGTTGATTTTGGTACTTTCAAGTATAAGGAACCTCCCATTCAGCCATCTTCTTCTGCTCTACAGGATGAGGTTAGTCCATTACCATGCATAACTAAAAATCATGCAAATTAATTAACACAATAGGATGTTTAACTACAATAATATTGATGTGGATGAGATGTAATTCAAAATGCAGGTTGACATGCTTCAAGAAGAGAATGAAAGTTTACTGGAAAAGGTATCAACAACTTCCTTCTGATATATAGAATTAGTTTATCATTTCAATTCATCACGTTCACGGGATGTGGATCAGCTTCGACTTGCAGAAGAGCGTTGCGAAGAAGCTGAGGCAAGGGCTAGACAGCTTGAACAGCAGGTTCATTTTTTTTCTCCTTTGCTTTCAGAAATCTATGTTATACAAGTTGAGGACATTACTTAATTCCACTGCTGGCCAACTCAGAATTTTATACGAGGCGTTCAGTTAAAAGTTATAAGTAAAGAGTTCGGAAAAATACAACTTATTGGTAACCTCATGAGCTCAAAATGAAGTCATTATGCCTACCGTTTTTTGTCTTGCTTTTTAGGTTGCTAGTCTTGGGGAAGGTGTGTCAATGGAGGCTCGTCTTATAAGCAGGTAAATGCCAGATCATGAATTAGTAACTGCTTCCAATTTTCAAAAAAAAATAAAATACCAATTCTCTCTGGAAGAGGGGTACATGTCAAGTATCGGCTTGGGATCATGTCTTCTTACGACTATTCTGGATGTACAATTCAATTCATAGTACAAACAAACAACATTTTCTTCATTCTAAATTTTCATATTGTTTTTATATTTTTTTCTTTATACAGGAAAGAAGCAGCTCTACAACAAAGAGAGGTATGTATCATATATAGACACTTCGATGCATTCTTCCTTGTTTTGCTTATAACTTCATTGAGTTACTCTCTCAGTCCCACAATAAATATCACTTAAGCTTCAAAAAAAAGTTGTTCCAAAATAAGTGCTAACTTAAAAATTCAAAGACAAAATTTATGCATGTTTTTCAACTTTATATACCCTTATACTCTATTTTCTTAATAGTGTTCAATTTTCAAGAGACATTTATTGAACATGGATAGTTTAGTAAACTACACATTATATTTATTAATTTCTTAACAAACGTGATTGTTAAAAAAGTGACATTTATTTTGGGCTAGAGGGATCAGTGCTTCCTCATCCATTTCAATTTATGTCATACTGTTTGATTAAACATGAAATTTTAAGAATGAAATGAAGACTTTTAATTTTTTTCACTAGTTCATATTAAGTAAAATATTGGATTTTTTTCATAGTTCAAAATAAGTGAATTTTTCAAAGTTCAATAGAATTGTTGAGACTTTTTTTCTTCATAGTTACCCTTTATTTAATGAGGTTCTTAATTACTTTACATTTTCTAGGACACTAATCTAGAAATAAACAAAATGATAGTAGTAGAAAGTAGTTTTTAATTTATGTCCTAAAATATTTTTTTAAACATGTGTCATACAACAATAATTCACTTAATATGACTAAAGAGAGTGGTATTAGAGTAATACTAAATGGCCAGAAAATTTGGCCAGAAATTTAAAAAATCTATACTATTTTTTAAATTTTAAAATAAACTAATATTTTTTCCATTTTTTAATTAAAAGGTATTAAAGTTAAAAGGGTAAAAATGTTCAAAAAGGTAAAATAACATAGTGTGAAATATGTTATTTTACTGACCAAATTCTAGCCAAATTTACTCCTCCCCATTACGTGTTCTCTCAACTTCTCAAGTGTATACTTGGATCAGTTAGATGAGTGATATTTGTCCAATTCAAATTTCAAAGATCCAGAGTACATTAAGGGCCTGTTTGAAAGGCCACAATGAAATTGGGAATTGGTATAATTGGTGTAATTATTCTCTTTGTCCTGTTTGGTAGACCAAGTAATTACTTGGTAAGAGGAGAATTGGGTGTAATTGAAGGGGAGTAATTACACTCCTCAATTTCCAAGGGAGAGTAAGGAATTGAGTGTAATTACACCATGTAATTACATGAATTTTTTAGTATTATATTTTTTTAATATATTTTTGTTTGGAAAAGACACTTCTTCCTTTTTTGTCTGCACATTTCCATTTCTAAGAACGGCAGCACAACAACAAGCCATGTACTTCTTCTTTCAAGTAAGATTTATTTCTTGATTCATTTTACTTTCATATTTTGATGTCTAGGTAGATTATGTATGAATTTTATTTTTATATTTTCTCCTGTTAGTTTTGAGATTAAAATAAATATGAGAATTAATTTTTTTTTCTTTAATTTCTGATAATAATAATAATAATAATAATAAATTAAAAAATCGATTCTAACAATCAGTTATACATATTTCCTACAATGACAATCATCTAGTTATGTAATTTCAGGATCTGTTTGGTTTTAATAAATCATGGCTTTAAGCATGTTGGCTTGCTTATTTCTCTTCCTTGTCTTACTAGCTTATGACTTTGTGAAGTTCGCCTTAGTCGATATGCCTCTGCTCTTGCTTTCTTCCTATTTACATTCTTTGTATTTAAAGTTGTCTAGTTGATTGTTACAATGCATAAATATTATCACTGGTAGCAATAGTGAGTAGCAAAATAAAATATCAACTCCTAGCTAGCCCACCAACCAAACTTTAAATGGGTTAATAGTTCAGGTTAGCTATCATCGTTGCTCGCTTGGGCTTGAAACTGGTCTTGTACATCATTTCCTAGATGATGCGTCGAACCAAAATAATCTTTGATTCCTCTCTTGCCATACTTGATATAGGTGATTAGTCATAGTCATCCGGTAAATGTGAGCATGAGGTACATTACTCCTCGTGTTACTCTAAGAACAATCAAGTTCACCTTGTCAAATTAACATCATAGCCTGCTTTAGTGTTTTATATTTTCATTTATGTAGGATGACAACTAACCAAACACCTGTTGGAAAACCATACACCAAATGGAGTGAAGTTCAAGATGAACACTTCATTTACTTTATTGTTGAACAAGTTAAGTTGGAAAGAACGCAACCAGGAGGCTTAACCACCGAAGGATGGGATAGTGTAGAAAAAGAAATGAACAAGCTATATGGGGACAAATTAGATAAGACTAAAATGAAAAATAGGATGAGGACTTTGAAGAAGATATATGCTACTATGAAGAGAATGTCACAACATAGTGGATTTGGGTGGAATGAAGAAACTCGAAAAGTTGATGTTGAAGATGATAGGTCAATGTAATTACTAGACTATGTAATTACTAGGCTAGTAATTACACCAATTCCAATTACCAGGTGCTTTCCAAACAGACCCTAACTTAAAAGCACCTTAACTACAAATTAATAAATGTTTTGAGAAAAGCAATCTTTTTTCTTTTTTTTTTCTTTTTTTTTGTCATAAAAAATGTCACTTTATTATAATTAGAAATAATTTAACTTTAAAATATCTTTTTTACCATTAATAAAATATTTTTCAGCCACACAAATATCTAAGGATTATTTCAAACCACAAGTTTCAAAAGTCTTTTTTTTTCCTTAAACGTCGTGTCAAATCAAACGGTGTCACATAAAATGAGACGAAGAGAGTAATTTAATTTACAAATATTGTTTTGCAAACAAAAAAATAAAGAAAGTATTGTGTTGTCATAAGCAAAAAAGGAAGCAATGAAATATAATTTGCTAAAGTTCAGGAAGGGGGTAAAAGGCAGAGGCGGATGGTGGGATGCACGTACATTCGTTAACTTTGATAAAATTTATATGTATATATGTATATCTATCTTGAGAACCTACATAAATTTGAATATAATTAGCAATGCACCCAAAATGAGCATAGAGTGTTCTTGTGCTGCTGGTATAAGAAGCCTGTGGAACCACCTCCGAGACCGTGGTTTTAACCCAACAAGAGCCATGTTCCACTATTTTTTTATTTTATCTTTATATTAGAGCTCATATTTGGTGCACCCGAAATCTTCAAATCTTGAATTCACCTCTGTCAAAAGGTGTAAAGTTTATTTTGTTAGCATGATGGACAACTGAATAATTGTATATATCAATGTAATTATTTAGTGCTATAAATTAGTATTATTCTATATATTTGTTGTAGAATCATAGAAATAAATATTGTTATAGAATAGCTGATTTGGAGGGATAGCAAAGCAGATTTAGAGGGATTGAATAGCAGATTTGTAGAGATAAAATAGTTGATCTTTAGGGATAAGAATGTCGAATATTTAGGAATGTGTAATATTTGTACTCTCTATTTAATTGAAAGACTCTCTCTCATTTTGAAAGGCATTCAGTAGAAAACTGACATGGTATTAGAGCATTTTCTTGGTTGTCTTGGTTCAAAGAATCTTTTGTGGTTCCTTCTAAAAAAATTGAAAATCTTGGTTTTTGTTGATTGTTCGTCAACACTCTGTCCTACCACCTAGGACTTTTGTTCTTGATCATTCTAGTTGCTTTCTTGAGTCTTTGTAGTTTTCATAGCTATTCAAAAGCATGAATTCACATCACTTTGAATCCTTCCGTTCTCGTTTCATTGGAAAAAAATTATTCTTCTAGGAAGTTTCAATTTCAGTTATTTGTCACCGGTAAAGAACTGTGGGGCCATATAGATGGAAACGATCATGCTCTTACTGATCCAATAAAGCTAGGTTCATGGAAGATTACAAATGCTCGGGTGATGGATGGATTCTAGGGTCAATTGACCCTCTTATTGTTCTTAAAATCAGGTCATACAAGACAACTAAGGTCATGTGGGATTACTTACAAAAGATTTATAACCAAGATAATAGTTCAAGATGCTTTCAGTTAGAGTATGAAATTGCTAATTACTCTCAAGGAGGTCTTTCTGTTCAGGATTATTTTTCTGGATTTCAAAACTTATGGCCTGAATTTACAGGTATTTTCTATGCCAAAATACCTACTGAATCTTTATGTGATTCAAGCAGTTCATGAGCAAAGCAAGTGAGACCATTTTTTGATGAAATTATGCTCCGACTTTGAGAGTGTTTGCTCTAATTTGATGAATCATGACCCATCTCCCTCTTTGGATGTTTATTTTAGGGAATTACTTAGTGAAGAGCAACGTCTTATCACACAAAGCGCTTCCAAGAAAGAAAATGATGTCACTATTGCATTTGCTGCTCAAGGTAAAGGAAAGGGTAGGGATATGACTAGAACTCAATACTGCATTTGCAAGGAATATGATCATATTGCTAGCAATTGTAGCAAGAAATTCTATAATTATGGTAAGTAACAAGGGCACATTATCAAAGAGTGTCCCACACGCCCTTAAAATTGTAGGGTCAGTGCTTTTCAAGCTGGGATAAAAGGTTACACCATTGATAACCCATCTTCAGGACAAGTTCTTACTCCTGAAATGGTACAACAAATGATCGTGTCAGCCTTTTCAACATTGGGATTACAAGGTAATGATGTTACATAATTTTTGGATTGTTGATTCAAGTGCTTCCAATCATATGACCAATTCAACGTGCATCCTAAAAAATATTCGTAAGTATCAAGGTCCATCACAAATACAGATTGTCTATGGTAGTAATTTACCCATTACCAAGTTTGGGGACATTACTCTAACTTTCAAGAATGATTTTGTTTCACCAAAGTTCTCAACTAGTCTTATTTTAGTTGGACAATTGGTAGATAACAATTATGGTGTGAATTTTTCTAGTAAGGTTTTATTATGCAGGATCAAGTGTTGGATATAATAATCGCGAAGGCGCTTAAAGTTGGACGATTGTTTCCTATACACTTTTCCATTCCTCCTGTTCTATCATTTGCTTATACTTCTATCGCAATTAAGATTGAGGTTTGACATAAGCGTTTAGGACATCCAAATTCTGTTGTGTAATCTCTCATTTGTCAAATTCGGGTTATTGGGAAATAAAAATCAATTTTCAGTTGATTCCATTGATTGTTCTACTAGTAAATTAGGTAAAAATAAAACTCTTCTTTTTCCTAATTTTGGTAGCCGTGCTACAAAGTGTTTTGATGTCATTCATAGTGATGTTTGGGGCATTTCACCAATTATTTCTCATGCTCAGTTCAAATACTTTGTGACATTCATATGATTATAGTCGGTTTACATGGGTGTATTTTCTTCGATCCAAATGTGAGGTATTTTTCATGTTCAAGATATTTTTGGCTTATATTGAGACATATTTTTCTACATGCATCAAATTATTAAGATCTGATTCCAGTGGGGAATATATGTCTTATGAATTCAAAAAATTCTTTCTTGGAAAAGGAAATACTTAGAATGCTCTTGCCCATATACACCACAACAAAATGGAGTTGCTGAATGTAAAAATTGACATCTTTTAGATGTCACTCGTATTTTATTGACTGAGTCCTCTGTACCGTATAAATACCGGATAAAATCTTTGTCTACTGTTGTCTATTTAATTAATAGACTGCCATCTAAAATACTAAATCTTGAATCTCCATATTTTCGTTTTTATCACCAAAATCCTAACTATAGTGATTTTATACATTTGGCTGTGTTTTTTTTGTACATTTGCCTCCTTCGCAGCGCAATAAAATTTATGTACTGTCTACAAAATTTCCTTTTATGGGTTATAGTACTTCACAAAAAGGTTTTATTTGCTATGATCCATGTTGTTTTCTTTGAGAATATGTATTTATTTCCAACTATTGTAGATTTATCTTCTGCTTCTCCTTTTCTTCCTACTTTTGAAGATTTATCATCTTCTTTTAAGAGGTTCAAATTTGGATTTGTGTATCAACGATGTCGGACGACTTTACCCCATCCTGACACTGTTCCGCTACCTAAAATTGCACCACAACTAGAATATCAAAATTCTTCAAGATCCGATCCTCTTGAACCTACTCGATAATCTACCAGAGTATCTCATACTCCCAATTGGTATGACTTTTTCTCTATTTTATCAAACATTTCTGTTCCAACTTGTTACTCATAAGCTTTCAAGCATGAATGTTGGCAGAAAACAATGGAGGAAGAATTTTTGGCTCTTAAAGAAAATGACACATGGGACATTGTTTCATGTCCTTCAAATGTCCGCTCAATTGGATGTAAATGAGTTTATTCAATTAAACTTCTTTTTGATGGAACTATTGATCGGTACAAAACTCGATTGGTTGTTCTTGGTAACAAACAAAAGTATGGGGTGGCCTATGAGGAGACTTTTGCACCTGTAGCAAAAATGGCTACTGTGCAAATTATTATTGTCATTGCTACTTCACAAAACTAGTCTTTTTATCAAATGGATGTCAAAAATGCTTTTCTCCATGGTGATTTTAAAGAAGATATTTATATGAAACCTCCACTTGATTTTTTTTTCTCATTACCTACATCAAATATATGCAAGTTGAAGCGATCTTTTGTATAGATTAAAATAAGCTCCTAGAGCTTGGTTTGATAAGTTTTGGTCTACTTTGCTACAATTTTCATTTGAGCAGAGCAAATATGACTCATCTTTGTTTCTTCGGAATACATCTACAGGTTGTGTTCTTCTTTTGGTGTATGTAGATGACATTATTATCACAGAAATCGATTCTTTATTAACCACTAGCCTCCAACAGCAGCTTAAAGATTCTTTTCATATGAATGATCTTGGTACTCTTACATATTTCTTGGGTTTGAAAGTTCATAATGATGTTTCAGGTGTGTTTTTAAACCAACACAAATATACTCAGGAACTAATTTCTATAGCTAGTCTTCAATATTCCTCCTCCGTAGATACTACATTGGAATTGAATGTGGAGTATCGTAATGAGGAAGACGATCTTCTTACTGATCCAACTATATTTCAACAATTAGTTGGGAGTCTAAATTACCTTACTATTACTCGGCCTAATATCTCTTTTGCAGTTCAACAAGTTAGTGAATTTATGCAAACTCTTCGTCATCTCCACTTGGTGTTCGTCGCATCATTTGGTATATTCTAGTAACATCTACTCATGGATTGTTCTTTCAAAGTGGTTCTCCTATTCGTCTTAATGCTTTTAGTGATTCTGATTGGCGGGATGTCCTGATACTCATCGTTCAGTCACTAGTTGGTGCATGTTTCTCGGAGAGTCATTGATATCTTGGAAGAGTAAGAAGCAAGATCGTGTGTCAAAATCTTCAACAGAGGCTGAATATTGATCCATGTCTACTACTTGCTCTGAGGTTGAATGGCTTCGTGGATTTCTTGCTGAGATTGGATTTCCTACTCCTCTCCATGCTGACAATACAAGTGCTATTCAGATTCCTACTAATCCTTTTTTTCATGAGAGAACTAAACACCTCAAAGTAGATTGTCATTATATACGAGAAGTTGTAGATAAATGAGTCATTACTCTTCCACATGTGTCTAGTGATTTTCAAATAGCTGATGTGTTAACAAAATTCATGGCACGACAATACCATCAGTTTCTAGTAGGCAAATTGATGTTTCTTGGTCCACCAACATCAATTTGAGGGGGTATATTGTTAGCATGATGGAAAGCTGAATAATTGTATATATTAATGTAATTATATAGTGCTATAAGATGTAGAATCATAGAAATAAATATTGTAATAGAATAACTGATTTGGAGGGATAGCAAAGCAGATTTAGACGGAACAAATAGCAGATTTGTAGAGATAGAATAGCTGATCTTTAGGAGTAGAAATGACGGATCTTTAGGGATTTTTAATCTTTATACTCTCTATTTAATGGAAACACTCTCTCACTTTTAATGCCATTCAGCAGAAAATTGATATATTTAAATCGAAAATGGACAGGCTGCTCTAAAAGTTGCAGCACAAAGTCATGGTGGAAAGGGTGACGAGCTTGCAGCTCTTCGGACAGAAGCTGAGGTAATTTACATATGTATATATTTATTATTGGTGTAGATAGAATATATAAGTTGTTGCTAATTTGTTTTGCAACTATGTATGTTATAGTCTCTGCGAACTATGAGCAGAAGAATGATACTGAGTGAAGAGGAGATGGTATGTAATTTATTTAGTGTACAAATTTCTATTGTTATTCAATTTTCCTTTTGCATACTTATGTAATTCACAGTTTGATACTTCAGGAAGAGGTTGTTCTCAAGAGGTGTTGGCTTGCACGCTATTGGACTTTATGCCAAACTTATGGCATTCACTCTGATATAGCTGCAGCTAAACAAGAATACTGGTCATCCCTAGCTCCTTTACCATTGGAAGTTGTGTTGGAGGCAGGACAAAAAGCTAAAGATGACAACTCATTAGGTGAGATTATCACTCTTTCCGTCCAACAATAGTTGTCCACTATATTATTTTGGAATGTTCAATAATACTTATCTATTTTATGAAATCAATGGCTAATGTTGCACTTAGTTCCTAATTTACCCTTATCATTAATTATAGTCATTTCCTTATTACATTTTTCAAGACTTTGTATTTATTATATATTCAAAGAGTGATATAGTAAAATTATCCATCTATTTATAGTTTCTAAAAGGGTGCGTCAAGTCAGTAATGAACAACTATTATTGGATAGAGAGATAATAAAAGTATTAATTTTATAGTTTACAACGATGGAGAGGATAGAGAAACAATTGGCAATGATTTGAATGAACTTTCGGGAGATGGGAATGTGGAGAGCATGCTACTAGTGGATAAAGCTCTTCGAGAACTCACATCACTCAAGGTACTTTTTATACAAGTTTAAGTATCTATTTGAGACACTTAAACTTTTTTATACTAGGCTTTAGCTGATAAATGTGACCTTTAATTTTGGGTGTGCATATGTAAAACACTTAAACTTGTATACAATTTAACAAAAAAACACATCCGTCCTACATGACACCCTACATGACAATTTTGGGTCCTATGTATATTATGTCACGTATGTCTACTTGTTCAATTTTATATAAATTTAAGTGTCTACATGTGCACACTCAAAGTTGAAGGACATAATTGTCTGTTGAAGTCAAGTTAAGAATCATATTTATGTATTATGTCAATAAATAACGTGAATGGTGTGGAACAAGTGCAAAGTTGTAACATGTGTATATTCATTATTTAATAAAAGGTAGATGGAGCAGTATCCCTAGCAATGGCCCAACAAAGGCGCCCAACTTCATTGAGAGCTACAGGTAACAAAAATCATATTACTCAATTTGTCATATCAATATTTTTGTTGACTTGTTATGGCTGCAGATGACATGATCAGGCTACCAATTGAAGGACAGGGCTTTACAGAATCATACGGTGAGTTTATTAAGTCACTGTCAATTAGCAAACTCAACGTTTTAGGTTAGGTTAATTCACTAAAACTTAATTAATTCTAATTACAAGTCATGTGATTGGAGGACTTCTGCTGCACCACTATACAATATTATATAACAAGGTTTTAGAGTAGGTTGTCATTCCATGAATTCCATTTATTATTCTATGACTAAGGTTGGGCACCGAACCGGAATGGGACCATCGGACCGGAACAAACCGGTATCGGACCGGAACGAACCGGTATCGGTCCGGAACGGGACGGTTTGATCGGGTTGTTGACCGGTACCGGGATGAACCGGACCGGAACTACCGGGATGGAGGCTTAGTTCCGTCCCGTCCCACTATATACCGGGATAGAACAGGGACGGACCGGAATGGACCGGAACGGAACGGGATGGGATAAACGGGACGGCACATATAGCTATTTCAAAAAAATAATTATTTGTTTTTTGAGTTATTTTGAATTACGAAAATACAAATGTTTTTTTTATTTTTCTAAGTTATATTAGTTTATAGTATTTAAGTTTAAAATTTATAATAATTTTACTTAAGTTTATTTTAAAGATATTTTTTTTTAATTTTTACGTATATAAATTTGTAAGTTAAGTTTAATAAAGTTTTTTTTTTTAAGTTTTTGAGCTTATGTAGTTATGTTATAAGTTTTATAGATTTGAATCTTTTGAAGTTTATAAGTTATTATGTTATACTTATAACTTGTAAGTTAAATAACTTAAGTTTGTAATTTTAAAAAATTAAATAAACAAAAAAGAAATGCTAATAAAAGAAAATAATGACAAAAATATTATTTTTTATTTTAATTAAAAATGATTTACCGGGATCGGACCGGACCGGAACAGAACCGGAATGAACCGGTACCGATATATCGGTACCAAATCATGATACCGTTCCGTTCCGTGTACCGGTTCAATATATCCCATCCCGTCCCGAATACTACCAGACCGGAACGAACCGAAATTGTACCGGTACAACCCGTTCTGGTGCCCTGCCTTAATTCTATCTACATTTTAGACTATATTTTTCCATGAGTAGTGATAAAAAAATAGCATTACAACTTTCTTTGCTTCTTAATACTCCATCCGTTCACTTTTTCTTGTCCACTTAGATTTTAGCATGCCTTTAAGAAACAACAATTAATCTGAGTATTTTTTTACCACAATATTACTTATATTAATTGATATATAATCTTAAATTTTGAGAAATGATATAATAAATAAGTAATGAATGTTAATAGTAAAATAGATTTAATTTTTTTTTCTTTTTTTTAATATGTTAAAAATGACGAATAAAAATAGAAATTTATGTTTAAAATATTGGACAACTAAATGTGAACGGAGGGAGTAGTATTAATTTGTTTTTTTAATAAGGTAGCAATACCTCGTATTACTAATATTATCTATACCACAGAATTGAGTCCAGAGGAGTCAGAAGATGTACAATTTAAGCAGGTATTTGACTCTTTGATTAACTCTTGACATTAGCTTCCCTCTTTTCCTCCTTTCTTCTTCCCTTTCTTTACCCATCAGGGTACTATTCAATTGAATTTGAGGAAAAAAGGCCTCTTCCTATTTTAGTATGTTTTTATAAATCATATGGGGTATTTATATAAGTGAATCCTACCTAACTAAGAAAAGATAATTATATTAAAATAAAATAGAATATTCTTCCTATAATTATGCTAGGAAAAAAAATAAGGTTCCTAAAACCATGCTAATTAATTAATGCAATCAACATTCAACTTCCAGTCCCCATGCCCCAATATAGTACCAGTAATAACCAGCAGCAAGCTGCCTCTACCTTGTATTGATACATATTAACATATAATACAATATTTCATTTTCTAAAAAAAAAAAAACCAATTAAGGATATTACAGTCTTTTTGTTGAGGCCTTTCTTAAACACATCAATTAGCTGTTTTTTTAACGGTACATGAAGCAAACTCAAGGTGCCATTAGTAACTTTATCTTTGATAAAGTGTCGATCAATTTCAATATGTTTAGTCTAGTCATATTAAACATAATTCTGAACTAAACTAATTACAACTTTGTATGGTTGTATAAAAAAAAGTTTCCCCATTTCAAACAATATCAGTTCTTCCACTAACTTTTGTAGCCAAAGAAGCTGATCGTGTTGGAATGTACACGTCCACCAATGTTCGCAGGACCAGGTCCCCCACAGAATAAAGTGCAAAAAATGAATAACACAAAGTAAATCAGGCACAAGAGTTTTACGTGGAAACCTCTTTGCTCAAGGGAGTAAAGCCACGACCTGTCACACAGGACTTTTCAAACTGTTTTCACTAATCTTCTCAAAGCAAAAGTGAAAACCAGTTTACAACCACACATAGAGATTAACCTCCTAATCTCTAAACAAAGTAATACAACCTATTACTTAATGAGCCTAAGCAATGCATCCATTGTCCACTATATTAACCCTCACTGATTAATATAGACTTTTGACCGTAAGAAACAAAGTTATTCCTAACTATGTTCTTACAAGACTCAAACAAAATTTGAAACGTTTCTAACAACAATGAAACAAATCCTACAAGTTAATCTCAATACAAACATTCAAGAACAGCAGCAGGTACGGAAAGCATTTCTTCTGTTGATCAGGTCCTCCTTTAAGCTTTTGAGTTTTAGTTTGCCAAATCTTAAGTTTTTGTTTTGTGTTAAGAGATTATATCAAAATGAACACAAACTCCTTGGGACCGCCCATTGGCGGAGAGCCTGCCTCTCTGGAAAGACGTGCACCTACCATATCAGAGGTGACAACTTTTTTGACAGTTATCTTGTTGTCCTTTCACATACGCAATCTTGCAGGGACCATGTGTTGTCTCCTGTATTCAGATTAGCAAACCAGAAATAATAAAAGATGAAAAGAAAAACACAAAGAACTATTCAAGTCCACAGAACCCACTGTGTGTCCTTAAAAAAATTTAATCCCCTCAAGTACCCAAGGTTGCAGATTAATTCCTCCCAAGATAAAACAGATTAACCATTAAATAAGTAGCGGTACCTCAAACTTTGATAATTTCAACGAACTCAAAATGACAGCAACGAATCACACACACAGACACGATCGATCAATTTTGTTTTGTAAGAAATGTATGTAAAAGAAGGGAAGAATTCGATGCAGAAAAATGAGAGAAAACCTCTCTATTTATAGCCAACAAAAGGTAAAGGTCACAACCCTTTGGAAAGAAGACAACCTTTCAAAAAGGTCACAACACTTTGAAAAAGGCATAACCTTTCAAAAAGGTCACAACCCTTTAGAAAGGTCACAACCCTTTAGAAAGGACACAACCTTTCATAAAGGTCACAACCCTTCGGCATAGTCACAACTCTTCAGGAGAGTCACAATCCTTCATTTCCTGTTCACACCTTTAAAACCCAACAATCCCCACATGAATAGGGAATGACTATTGTTAAAACATATGCATGAAAAACTATGTGATTCGTAATTAAGGATTGATAGCCTTTGGATAAATGGGTTTCCCTTTGAACTTTCCATAGTGAACATATATCGGATATACTCGGTCAATCGGTAGATTTGATATCTTTGAACCGTCGAGCTTTGTTGTATACCTAGACAACATAAGTCACACAATCAACCCTTGAACTATTTTTGGTTCTCATTGTTTTGTTCGTTTCAGCCATGAACACGTCTCGGTTTATAAGTGCGTAGAGAACTGGCCTTACCGAATTCTCCTTGAAGCGGCTTACACTTCACACTTATATAGGTGATTTCTAAATGTGTTATCTCGTAAATACACCATTTGATATACCCTGTATCAAACTTAGAAACCATTAAAAAGTCCTTATGCCTGTATCCTGGTTACTGAACATTGTCTTATCATGAGAATGAACCATAAAAAATATTTTGACAATGTTAAACCGTCATCAATGACTTTGTTTGATCTCCTTGAACCTAGATCTTGGGATCTCCAGTCTTCTAGGTGGAGTTACTGCCACAATGACTTGTTCTTGGCCATAGTCCCATTCCCGTCGATGATCTCTCAACTCCCTCTCTAGTTAGGCCTTTTATAAGTGGATCCGACACATTATCCTTTGACTTTACATAGTCAATTATGATAATTCCACTAGAGAGTAGTTCTCTAACGACATTATGTCTATGTCATTTATGACGAGACTTTCCTTTCTTTACCAGAACCACAAAGCCCTTGGGTTGTTCCATGTAAATTTCTTCCTCCAATT